TTGAATGTTATCTTGGTGGTTCTTTCCTTTTTTTTTTTTTTTTTTTCTTTTGTATGATGTAGAAGCTGTCACGTAATTTTAGATTAGACAAACATTCATCTGTATATACTGGAGAAACCCCGTCAAAACGACCCGTTAATTTTAGATCAGGCAAACATTTACATGTATATTCGAGAATTGTTAAGAAACTTCACTTTGTTCTTTTGAATTTTTGCATTCAATTTTACATTACGACAAATTTATATTCAATGAATGATCTATCGAATTGAGTACTGAACGTATTCAACAAATATTGTACATATCAAGCGAGTACTGCATTTGCAAAAAGAAACAAAAGTAGCGATTATGAAACTTATCTGTTGAATATCATAAACATATATATATATATATATAATGTATCCGGCGGATACCGCACAGTACTACACACATGTGGTAGGCGTCATAACGTTTTCTGCTGGCACTAGCACACATCCAGTTGTTACAATCGATCAATTATGTATGAAATCCTTTTATATAAGAATTTCCTCGAAAAAAAGGAATCGAGTTTCATTCTGAGTCACGTGTCGTATTAAGAATTTGTTCGTTTGTTATTGTTAGGTTCATAACTTATGTTAGTTATCATCGGTTTTTGCAATATTTATATGTAGAAATGATTTCCATTCGTAACAGCTAAATTGTTTATAAGGGCTCGTTGTTATCGAAAAAGACATTTTGCTAGTCATTTCTTTCATTCGGTTTGCTTCGGATTTAAAGGTGTTCTTAGCGTGTTACTTGGATTTACCTTCTCTCAAAGAAATTATAATTGATGAACTTGAGGCTTATACAGTTTTCGCTTCCTAATTTATCCAGTTCTGAGTAATTTAGACAGAGAACAACGCACATGTATGTATATTTACTGTGTTAAAATATAAGTTATTACTATCGCTATCAAAAATATTACTAGAATATCGGGTTGATGAATGTTGAGCGAGTGGCGTGGTCCAACCATATCGGTTCGTACACTTACGAGCTATGAAATTTCTGACGAGCTCTGTCGTCGGCAACTTCAGGTAAGAGAGAGATTTCTTAACATGCAAAAAATTTTATGATATATCGAAATTCATATGTTATGGTGTTGTTTGCATGTGTTTTCGTCCCTAACGACCTAACCATTTAACTGTAAGTGTTATGGTTCCAGTACTGCAATTTTTTTTTTTTAGGTACTGGAGCGTCGGTATGGTGGCCGTCTGCGCGCTCATACAGCTGCCACACGAATACAACGAGCATTCCGTCAGTCATGTTTGTTGAAACAGTGGAAGCATCTGGTGTTACCCATCCAAAATAGTGCAGTATGTTCCAGAACTGATGGCAGTCAGGGATGTAATGATGTTTCAAAGCGTGATGTATGTCAGGGATCTAATGATGTTTTAAAGCGTGATGCATCTTTCGCAGTTGCATCTAATGCTCAAGCATGTCTTTATCGACCTTCTCTTACACCAGTTAGGTACGTCTGTAGTGAGTCTTGATGTTTTTTAAATTGTGAGATTGGTCCATCAAACAACATCCGAACTTCGTTGATGATCACGATTCATTGGTTTAGGACTGTCGTTTTCTGGATTCTTTTCTCTGTTTTAGGCCGAAGAATCCATCGGCACGCATCAAGATATCGATACCGGAACGAGGTTGTAAAGTACCTTTGGCAGTTGGAGAAAGTATTGGAAGTGCCAGATTTGACAGTGAATCACCTCATCGTTCTGCAGTAGAGTGTTTGTCGCCTCGACTTTCCCAGCGAAGGTTTGTCTATGTGATTCCTAACGAAATTTTTTTTTGTTGACGATGGAGATGGAATTTAAACTAGTCAAAACAGAAACAGGAGAGAATATTTTTCGATCTGTGTTTCTGTTCAGGATTGTGACAGATGTGACGCATCCAACAACACATGTTTGGCTTCCTCGTTCATCAGCAGTTACCGGGCGTAGCAACCATTCAAACTCACTTCCTCGTCTCGACAAACATGCCACACCATGTCAAGTAGTCAGGTTAATGTTTATTTCGAAACAGGATTCTAACGTAGTGACGTAGAGACTGCTTTTGCCAGGAAGATCAAGGTTCATTTGCTTTTCTATAAGAGTTAGTGAATAATCATGATACTTGTACTCTTTTGCGAAATAAGTCTCCCAGAAATCAAAAGTTAGAATTGAAGAGTAATTTTGTTCTGGAAGTTCTCATCGGGCAATCTCAGTTCGCTTTTGAATAGTGAAGGGCAAGTGATCATTTTCATCAACTAATAAGGTTGTAAGGAAATTGAAGAGAGCTAGATTGATGTTTGGAATTTCTGACGATTTTTGACAAATTTCGGAGTTGTTATTAGTTTCCTTATCTAACTGATTAGATTTGTTTGCAGCACTTCATCGAATGCTCCTGGAGTACCAGATCAACGAAGAAGGCGTCAATATAGAATAGCGCTTAATTTCTTTAATAAGTGAGTTGTATATTCTGAAAATAATTTGTAAGAAGCAGGAGCGAGTAAGAGGAGATTCAATTTGCCAAAAGTTAAAAGTATATAAACGTCAATGTTGGATACATGCGTTCTTTTTGTTAAATTCGAGTTAAAACATAAAGGAAAATATCTGAAACATTTTCAGGAAACCTACACGTGGTGTACAGTATCTCATTGAATGGGGTTTTGTTGAGGACAATTCGCTCGCAATTGCTAATTTATTATTGCATCGTCGTGGCTTAAGTAAACAAATGATTGGTGAATACATTGGGCACTTGCACAGTCCTTTTCAGTCCTCTGTTCTCAGGTGCGGCATTTTACTTTCCAGTAGATAATTCCTTGACTTCTTCAATTGCAGAACTGCAACCAGTAGCTTGAAATCATTTAAACTAAAAGAAATGAAGTTACAGAGTTGCTTGACTTGTTTGCTGAAAGTGCCTGAATTAAAGTAAGTATCCTTAAGTATTGTCGAAGGATTTGATTAAATAATTCTGCTCTAAAGTGATTGTAAAAAATGTTAGAAGTCATCATCCGTTCTCTAGTGGCATTCACATTTTCTATTTCCCTACCTTTTTCGTGGTAGTCAATTATCAGTTTTAGTCATTTCGTTGACCAGATTGATTTGCATGGGATGGAAGTGGATATTGCCCTCAGGCACACGCTTTCTTTTTTTCGCCTTCCAGGAGAAGCGCAGAAAATCGAGAGAATTATGCAGGTCTGTAAATTTCGTAATTAATCCTTATTTTTCAAAATTACTTTAGCTGTAATAAATCCCTCAGCAATGGATTAGATAGGACAGTTTGGTGGGTTGTATCACGACTGTTATTCATGAAGTGAAATTTGGTCATTTCTAAAGCAACACATTGAATTAAATGATCAAATACTACTGAAGGCTTCAGCAGTTAGAAATAGTTCTTTTCTATCTTCTAGCCACCTTGATTTTCTGTCCACTCTGAATTTTGGAAATTTAAAATTTAACGATTTTTTTCTTTTAATGTCATTAAGGAATCTAGTGTAATTCGTTGCAGGTGTTTTCTGCACATTACGCCGTCTGCAATCCTGATAAGGCTGCACTTTTTCACAGTGCAGATACAATATTCATCTTGGCGTTTGCCATTGTTATGCTAAACACAGATCTTCATTCGCCTAATATCAAACCATCACTAAAAATGAAGGTGGGAGATTTCATCAATAATTTACGTGGAATCGATGCAGGATACGACATTGACAGGTTTATTTCCCATTTCTTCTTAAGGATACCGTATGCTAATTTTCAGGTATGTGAAACAAGCTGATAGATAAGCACATGCTCCCAAATTAAACGTTATTTTTCTAGCAAGAGTGTAATTTTTCTGTTAATATAAGAATTTATATTTATATTTTATACTTTGTTATCCAATTTGTAGGGCACTGTTGGTTCGTATTTACCGTCGGATTCGTGACTCGCCGTTTAGCACAGGATCAGATCATGTATCGCAGGTTATAGCGGTTGATCAAAGTATGGTTGGCAAGGATAAGCCAGTAAGTCGGATAATCCAACTTCAAAATTTGGTTGAAAACGTGTTCCCAGTTTTTATTGGTTAGACAAACTCAACAACCTTAGACATTTTTAGAGCTTGGCCGAACCACATCGTCGCCTTGTGTGTTACTGTCGTTTGAACCAGATTATTGATCGTAGTAAGCGACAACCAGCCAACGCTCATCAACGAGAAGTTTTTTTGTTCAACGATCTTCTGTTGGTAAATTTTTAACATCCGAATTTTTAGCAATTTTGTGATCTTTTTCTATCAGGTATTTGTTATACTTGACAAAGGCACTCCCAAAATTTTGGTATAGCTTAGGAAAACATTTTGGGAAAGAACACTTAAATCTTATAGTTGTAATTTGTCGGAATCCAAATTCTTATTTTTGTGCTGTTGAATATAATCTGTAAAATTTGACAGTTTTAGATTGCAAAAATGGCTTCAAAGAGGAAATCATGTTGCCAATATGTATTACGCACATGGATGATGCTGCTGGGGGTGCGTGTTAGCATGTTCGAGACTCCTTTTTATGAATATGGCATTATGGTCACACTGTCTGATGGACAAGAAATTTATTTTAACTCGAAAAACGACGACGACAGGTAAGGGAAGTGGATGAAATGGGGAGTAGCTTTTCCATGGTTTCTTTTTTTCTGTATCATTGATTTTCCTGGCAGTTTTAGGCATCGGTTCGTGGCAGATATAAAGGAATCAGTAGCCGAATGCGCTGAAATGGAAGCAGTAAGAATTGATGCCGAATTGGACAAGCATTCGTTGATAAGTCGTAGCGATGGACCACGTGAGCGAGATTCGGGTTTATCCGAGATGGAAGGCAATACGTCGAATAGTGCTGCTAATACATCACCCAATACACCGCAGCAAGCTTTAAATTTATGTTCCATACGTCGTCTTAGTTTTAATTCATTTGATAGTGGAGTTATTGAGGAAAGTTGTGAATCATTTTCCCATTCAGGCCTGTCATCCGTTGCACCCCTCTATCCTTCAAAACGTTTGGAGGCTGCTATATGAAATAGGCTTCTATGTTTAAAAGGAAAAAAAAGCTTCAACATGAGTGGATTGTCCCTGCTGATTTTGACTTGTACTTTTCTAAAGATTCCAAACTTTTATTTACATTTCAAATCTTATGGTGCCGTTCTTCAGCTTTAATAATTCTGAGATTTTCTTTTCTTTTTCTTTGTTAAAAATGCAGAGATCTGTCTATTTACACCCGTCAGTTTGTTGTTTTCATTCCTAAATATGTCAAAATAGGTTTCCTAAGATATCAGGTTAGGTTACATTTTTAGTATTGACCTCGAACTCTCTCATTCTGTTCTTGGTGAATTCAGTTCTTAAGAAATGACTTTTTCAGCTGCCAAATTACTGTTTAGTTAGTTCTTGTGTTTTGATACACCTTTTGGAGGGGAGCTGATTTATGTCATGCTTTCATATTCTGGTTGAGATCATTAGAGAGGTTAAGTATTTAGTGTTTGTGGTAATTTTTGACCCGATTATTTCATTGCGGTCAAGAACGGGACACGAAGAACGCATGGACATACCAACCAGGTCGTCTAGTATATGTTGCTTTTTGAATTAATATGGTAGAGGTGGAGAAATATCCGAACCTATTTATCTCAAATTTTTTGATGTTCAGAATATCGTCATGGATGAATCAGTTTTTTTACCCAGCAGTTCGTTTAATTTCTTTCTGGTCTTTGTTAGTCTATTATTGGAGGTGCTAATATTTGTTTACTCTACAATTTGTTTTGTAGATTAACCAACTTTCTGTCTACCTTTTTATTTTTCTCTTTTGGAGTGATCCTGTTATAGTCATTGTGCTTCTGTGATTGCTTAGGTCTCGTGTTCCCGTTTTTTCTACTTTTTTTTTCGGCCAGTGGTGTTTTGAAATAACTGAAAACGAATAGTCTTTATTGTCCATCTCCTAATTATGACTGATTCGTGTTTATGAAAGTGACGTTGTATATCAGTAGTTTTTCACATGCTTATCCCTTTTTAAATTAGCACGGTTGTGATAGTGTTTTTTATTATTTTTTCCTTCTTTTTTGTTTTACCACTCATGTAATATCTGCCATGGTTTTTACAGAATTATTGAAACGTAATGTGTTATGTATCTAATTGACGATTACAATTCATTTTTTACCGAGTTTTTCCCCTGTATGGGAAGTCCCTTCAGAATGTTCATGCAGAACAATGTCTCTTTGCACCATGTGATCTTTTGATTGATGTAGTTATTTCTTGTATAGAAATTATGTGCAAGATTTAAAGGATCAGTGTCACATTGTCGTGTTCTTTATCTGCTAGAAGCATCCAAGAAGCAGATAATTTGTGGACCCGTCTTAACAGATGTGAACTTATCCTCCTAATTCCTTGTCTCGTTTTTACACATATATGATTCTCCCTTTTAATTCGGAATTGTCTTTCACGTCATTTTGTGCCCTCCAAATTTCTGATCAGTTTTTAATAAAATTTCTGTGACGTGATGTTTTACTTCTTATTGTCCTGTAGATTGCAGAAAGTTATATGTAACTTGTGCTATGTGTGAGTAGTTTGTCTCAATGCTGGAGATTTGTATGGTTGGCAGTGGTGAAACGTTCGGGGATAGCAATGGCCACAAACAATGAGTAAACGCGCTGGGAGTTATGAACTCTAAGCGAAATTCAATGGTTGTCCGGTAATGATAGTATTGGGTAGGATTTGGTCATTAAATAACAATTGACTCGAGGAAACATTGCATGATGTGCATACAGAGTCAATGAAGGAAAAATATAACGGATCCAAACTCCGTCAACTGGACAAACTGATTGTCAAGGCGAAACGAAAATTAAATCCGGTAATCGCAGAAGTAAATCTCCCGACTGCTGAAATGGATAGGCATGAACTATCTGAATTAGAAAAAAAGGCTCGAGAAGAGATTCTTAAAGATGCCGTGTCGGGTGTTCGTCGCTACGAAAAAATTGGACCGCAGGGGTGGTATGTTTCATTTGAAAATTCATGATGACCTTTTGTTTCTATTTTATACATATGTCAGGTTATACAACCAGGAGTTTAAGTATTGATTCAATGAAGTCTTAACAATGGCGTATAACCTCACATGTCCCGATCATACAGCACAAAGGAAATGATTTCAATTATGCGAAATACAGCAAAGAAATAAAATAAGTGGGGGAAATATTTCAGGAAAAGGCCAAACTGTTTAAGAACGAATAAGGAATTTCTCGAACGAATATTACGTTCAACAGGACCGAAACCGAGTACAACAAATGAATAGTTGTTAATTCTTGCTGTTTTTAAAAATAGTTCTAGTAATAAGACGAACTTCCTTTATGTTCCTAATGTTTTTGGTTTTTTCTGAAGTGAAAAAGGGTGGGACTGTAATGAAGTTCGACTCTTCACGTAATGTTACCTTTACATTAAAATTAAATTATCTCAATGTCATGCAATGAAATTGCAAGACTTAATTTATATTTAGCTCACTGCCACAACCTTTGAAAGTGCATTATGTGTAAATATTATTTCCGACATTTAAAATTTATCAGGTGGAAATTACCAAAATCAAAATAATAAGATGCACGACACCATGACCAATCTTGAGATGGTTTATACTGTAGCTGGATCTGCAATTGATTTCATTTCATAATTATTCGGACTAGATCGTTTTTACTGTGTAATCTTTGAAGATTGACTTCAGGTTCAAGTATTGTTTAAGATTCATATTTGAAATGCACTGAAAATGTAATTTACATACAAAATATAATAGGAAGGGATTTAGATACAAAATATAAGGGAATCTGAAGAAGCAAAAAAGGTTGTGGCTTTCTTCCTAGTAGTTTCATTCGGGTAGTTTTCCTCTCTTTCATACGTTCCTCTTTTTAATACATATAAAAATACGTATAACAATTGTTCTGATTGGTTTACCGTTGTTGTATATATTTACTATGATCTAGTATCTGTTTTGGATATGTAAGCTTTTTCTTTAAAAACAAAATATAAAATTTCAAATGTATGATCTGTATTACAATTGCAAAGTATTACAATTGTCACGCACATGCAACATACTTTCCCAGAATATGCCATCGAATAACAGTTCGAAACGCATTCCCGTTGTATTACTAAAAGTTAATTTGAGTGAATGCATAAAAGCTCATTTGATCTGAATGTAATTCTTGCGGAAAAGCATCAAGCATCGAATTTGGTAACACTGCTATTTTTCGAGACTGATTTGTCTATAAACTTCGAATCATGTTAACCTCTATCATCAGTCGTAAAGTAACAGTCATCGGCACACTTCGCTGCACGGATCTTTACAGGTCTCAGGATCATCACACTGAAACATTTTAAGCAATTTGCTGTAAGTCGACGGCTCTCATGGCTCAATGGTCACATTAATTAAACCGCCAAGTTTTGTTTGCGGTATGTGGCATATAATATCGCAATGAAGTACATCGTTGAAAGTAGAGGGATAGAATGCAGGAAATGAAGATTTAAACTTCACTTAAGGTTTTTATATTCCATGAATTTATTGCAGTAGTGGGTTGGTTTCCTAAATCGATTTCCACCAGTTTTTATCCTGAATCATAACAGTCAAGTTTCTCTAGTAGCAGAAAATTTCAAATGATTATCCAGTGAGTGTAGAGGTACCAATACACACATAGTTCGCCTAATCCTACACCTGCACGTCATGGATTTCTGGAGATAAGCTAAGGAAGGTATATGTTAAAAACCCTACATCCAAAACTACCCTCGCTTTCGAACTGAATTATAACTCCTGGACAAATTGTCGCTGAGTACAGTTTTCCTGGGAAATCGAAAGGTTCTATTACGGTAAAAATGACCGGAAACAAGAAGGACGAGAGTGACAAGCAAACCATACATCGTGATAACGAGGTTTCCTTTCTCTACCCTTATTATATGTTTTTCAGTGCTACATTCGCATGTAGTTCAGTTCAATATATTTGGGGTGAATGTACCAGTTTTCGCCTTATGACTAATTTCCTTTCAATAAGATACGAGATTTTCTACACAACGTAGATATCAAAGGAAGCAGTTGTCGTCTATAGACGGACAAGAAACCGAACTTAAAGTTTGATAAACTTGCAATTATAACAAATATTTTTAACGTCTCATTTGGATCCTGAGGTCTTACTGTTGTGCCAAATTAGGTTTGCGACAAAACAGTGATCTCTAAATTTAGAGAATGTCAATGTTGCTATTCTACATTCCTACCACAGATTGTATTTTATGCGTAAATCAACTGGAAACAACGATTACGGTCACTTGTTAATAGTCATCGTATGCAAACAATGTTGCAAATAATAATTATATTCCAACGATCCTTCATTTGCGCAGAAAATAATATTTAAAAATAACAGAAACCAAACAGTTATAAAAAGTTGATCTAAAACCCGAATGCTGCGCTAATTTAATGAAAAGTGTCCAAAACTTTCGCTTCATGGGCTGTTGCTACTATCACAGATAAAACATGTGGAATGTAGACATGTACACATCACTGAAATCATCAAGTCATGTTAAAATAACGGGGATATTTCTCATAATAAATTAATTTGTCCTTCAAAATTTTCCCTACTATAAAATATGAATTTATAAAACACAAATCATTATGCATCAGTATCCTCGTCATCTGTAACCGCCTGCCCCAATTCCGTTAATTTCCGTCTATATTCAAGTATCTTAGTATCCTGGTCAGCAAGTAATACCAGCAAATCTTCTTGTTCCTTTTTCAATACTGTCAATTCGTCACTATTTACTATCTGAATGAAACAAGAAATTTAGAAAATTCCATTTCAAAATAAAGTATAAGTGTGCAAAAGAAAAAGTGGGATATTAAATAATTCAATTCGTTCTACCCTCCTCGTTTTCCTCCAAAACCCATCCTTTTTATGGAAAAAAATAAAACCCAGTAACTGTAGCAAAATTTCTTTCAATATAATGCTAAAAAACCTCTGCAGGTACCACTTGTTTGTAAGTACGATCCAAAGCTGTCTGAGCGATTTGTTCTTCGAGAATACGAATTTTTGCTTTTGCTTGTTCGATCTCTGACAAAGCGGCTGCTAATGATAGTCCTTGAGAATTGTACATTTGCCAGCCGTGCTCCAGCTGCTCTTCCAATTCCTTGTTTTGAAAGATAAGCTGTTCCACCACTGGATCTTGAGGGTTCGATGACTGAAAATTATCTGAGCTCTATGGAGTAATTAATAACAATGTTCATATCTCAAACTGATAACGAAAAATGCTTTTAACTTTCGAATATCTAAACAAACCTGAGTAATCTGGTACTGCTGCCATTGTTCTGCCCACTTCTGGTACCTTTTCGCCTCTGATTGCCATTGCATGGCCATACTGGAATGTATATTAATACTCAAATGTTATTGAAAATTCAGTTAAAAAAAAAATGAAACTAAGCAAAGTTCAAGTCGCCTTTACGGTCAAATATTGGTCAAAAAAAATGCAATTTTAGGAGAAAAAGCTTTAAAATAATGAGAAATAATCTTGTAGGTTAATTTAAACAGTTCCGGATGCCTTATTATGAAAGCTGAAGCATTAATCTAATCATCCAAGTTTTGTGGATCCACCAATCGTAAAAACAAATCATAAAGACCAAAAGCTGGGAGAATATACAAGATTATGGCTTGGGAAAATATTTTGGGAAAGATTTCCAAGCACTCACCACTTATAATGCTCAATTTCTTGTTGTCCAGAAATACTGGTTCCATTCACATGGCACTGTTCAGCAAGCTGCTTCCAAAGTGAAGCTAATTCGTTTTCCTTATCATAATTCTGAAAAGAAAAATGAGTGTTTTAATTTGCCTAAAAACTGATTACTTAATTTGTTGGATTTTATGAAATAACACTAATAAATAAACGATCAAACAACAGATCGCATACCACAAAAGGCTACAAATTGGCTATAGAAGTAAAAACCTGCTGATTTTCAGCATCTTCTTTGAGCTTCTTTATCTGTTGACTTAATGATGCGATTGTTTCATCCTGACGCTTTATCAGTTCTTTGTATGAATTAAAAACACTGTCATTATTGATATTGGAAGAACTTATTTCGGCAGATGGACATATCTGTTTGACCATTTGACCTAAGGAATGTCGAATATAATAGGTTTAATTCTGGCGTTTTGGCTATAAGTGTGGAATTATTTAAAATTCAAGTAAAAAAGCTTTGCTATGACCAAAAAAAATTTTTTGAGGAACCCTCGACACTTTTGAAGAACTTCGTAAAATGATAATCCAACAATAAGTCTTGAGCTGATTTCGCCAACGGTTGCGGTCGTTGTGCAGCTTTTACGTAATGCTCACTATGAGAGAGACCTTCCAGTAACTCAACTAACTTCTCCTTTCCGACGCGGCGCTCCACTACCATACTCAAAGCATTCTTTCTGGAAAGCATCATTTAATTATCTGATAAGTGAAAAACAATGAAGGAGTAAATTTAGTTGCCGATGCATGCCAAGATTAAATAAAAATGCATGCGCATTGAGAATGTCCAGAGTCTACCTGCTTTTATCCTCGCCACTTTCATCGAAGACTAAGCATATTGTAAGCAGAAAGGCTATTAACCCCCTTACAACTTGATTCTCATCCTCAGAACCTTCTGTGCCATATCCATCTTGGAAAAAAATGAATTTAGAAAAATCATGAACATGCAAACGGGAATATCTATATAGAGAAGACTTTACAAGTTTTATCCAACCAAGAGAGTCCATTACACTCCAACAACTTTAAAACTTTTGAAATTGAAATTTTATGCTATACCAATATGTGTCGTTAAATACTGGACATTCTCTTCGACTGCGATAAACTGTGCAACTGCGAGTGGACAATTGTGCAGCCATGTTGAAAGCAGCATAAGCAGACCTGCTCTAGTCTGCGGTCGGCGGTTTCCCAAAGAAATCTGGAAAAAGTTAGCTGGTAACCCTGATAAAAGCTCACATTTACCCAAACTCAAAAAAAAAGGAACCCTTACTAACCAGAACAGTACTAAGATGTTGCAAAAGTGAAGAAGGTGTCTCAGAAGGATTTGTTGTTAGCTGAACTCTAAGCAGCTGTTGTTTGAGATGATCCGCATCTAGAAGACAATGTAGCAAACAAACGCAACCAAACCATACCTGAATACTGATTAATACAAATTTAAACTCATTAAAAAACGCTTTTGTGGAAAACGATAGGGCTTGTCACTTTGCAAAATTTTTCTTGAATCAATTCTAATATATATATATATATATGTATACATATATATGTATATATATATATATATGTATATATATATATATATTATATATATATACATGTATATATATATATATATATATACAGGTATGGATATAGATATAAATAGATAAATCCTGACAGTTTTTTTTCCCAGGACAAGTAATGGGAAAAGCTCGGTGATTAATGCCATGTTGCATGCGAAGGTGTTGCCACAAGGAATGGGGCATACCACTTGTTGTTTTTTGCAAGTAAATCCTTTCACTTACGTTTTTTTCATCATTTTCAAGTCAATGCAAATTTTTATGCAGTAGTCTGAACCTTACAATAAATTGCGGTAAAAAAATCAATTGGAATTGTGAATTTTTCTATAGGTGGAAGGAAGCTCAGACGACCAAAAATTTGTTTTAAATGAAGATTCATCGGAGCGAATGGACATCGAACAGTTGCAAAGACTAGGACATGCAATGAGTGACAGTAACGTTTCACTTTCTGCAATGGGCCAAGACTCACTTTTACGTATCTTTTATCCCAAATCAGCATCACGTTTACTACAGAACGATGTTGTTATCGTGGACAGGTTAGCTTTTCGATTTCTCATTACTTATTTCATGACTTCTACTTCAAAAATCATCTCTTTTTTTTTTCTTATCTTTTCCTTTTTTTATGCAGCACTAAGGATGAGTTCTTTTAAATTAGGTTGGAAGTTGGAATTTTTTTGATATTACAAACAATGCAATTAGGAAAAATTATTTTTAGAATTTTGTTGAATTCATTCCGAAAGTCTTTATCAATTTTTAAGATTGTATAATTTAGGCAAATTAATATTTTGAGCAACAGAATAATGCTGATTAAATTTTTTTGTTAAAAGGGGAAAAAGATGCGCAGTTCTATACTAACTTTGTTTAATGATTATTCATATAATAAGTAAGAAGAACGAGGTAAACACATGATCAAAGTGACTATGAAATTCTTCAGTCCTGGTGTAGATCTGTCACCGGAATTTGATAGTTGGATTGACAAACATTGTATGGATGCGGATGTATTTGTTTTGGTTTGCAATGCTGAGTCAACCCTTACACAGGCTGAGAAAAGTTTTTTCCATCGAGTGAGTTCGAAGCTGAGTAGACCGAATATGTTCATCCTCAACAATCGATGGGATGCAAGTGCAGCCGAAGTGGAAAATATGCAACAGGTTGAAAAGTTGAGTTGATGTCGTGTTTAGTCAGGCTTTGGTCCTGTTGCATTTTCTTCTTTTTCAGTTTTGTTCGTTTTCCAATTTCAACTTGCTTGCCATAAGCCATTTGAATTACGAAAGCTTTAACTTCTCAGAACTTTTAAGAAAACTTGAGCTTACAATTCAGTAAAGCTTTGCAACCTCAAAACGTCTTGGTTTTCTTAAAGCTGTGGGTAGATTTTTTGAGGCCACTTCCCCTATCAATTGTTGATTTGTTTACACTTCTTTTGGTTAATTTATTAGGAAAGCGAAGGTGTTGTGGAATTCAACTATTCAACTGCCCATAATCTAGAGTTCTTCTTGTGAAGCTCATTCTATGCTAGAAATTAAACTCCATATCATTGAAAATTTTTTCCATCTTTACGCGTTGTCTTCTGTGCTTTTGTATTTCTGTTGCTGAATGTCTCCTATTTTTAGTTTTATTTCACTGGTTTATTTTCAGATCCGAGAACAGCACATGACGCGATTTAGGCAGTTCCTTGTAAACGAACTTAAAGTATGTAGTGAAGCAGAAGCCGCAAATCGCATATTTTTCATATCAGCACGTGAAATGTTGGATGTGCGATTGAAAGAACGAGGAGTAATACGACATGGTGGGTCTTTTTTTTTCCTTTACATATCTGAAAATCTCAGTTGCCTGTTATAAAATTGTTCAAATGAAACTGCTAATGAGCTGTTTTGTAGCAAATTTTTTATGGCAAAGTTCATTAAAATAGATTTCAAAGATAAATTGTTCGATTTCAGCTTATCAAGTTGAAGGACATCAGTATCGTGCGATGGAATTTTGTAATTTCGAAACACAGTTTGAGGTAGGGATAGATTTAATACGGATAAAACTAACATTATAAAAAAGGAAAGAAGCAAAGAAAAAAAGAATAAATGGGAAAATGAAGGAAGTGAAGCATATATTTCTCATTGTAGGAGGCACTTATTTTTCAAAATTTCAGCAACTCATCTCGAAATCTGCAATCAACACTAAATTTGAGGCTCATGCGCGGAGAGCCCGCGAAATAGTGGGAGAAATGAGAAATAATCTGGATGTTGTACAGAGCAGTACTCTTAAAAGAAAGTAAGTTTGAATAGACGTTTTATAATCACATTTTTGGTAATTTAAATTTCTCTCTTAAGTTAAAGTGATTTTCTTCTATATTTAGAACTGTACTGCAGCGAGTTCTCTTTTTTTTTGTATCATGTTAACCAAGGAAATCTATACTTTTCAATCCATTTCATCTAATCTGCGTTGGGAATTCTATTATTTGTAACGGAAAGTAACTTTTGGTAATATATGACGTGGCTAACGTGGCTCTCTTGGTCTAAATAATCTCTTGGTCTCGTACAATTTCTTGCAGTTAAAGATGAAGTTGATTAAGACAAGTTATTTTTTCATCTACGGAAGCTCATTCAAATGTAGGCTTTATTATTGCCTATCAATATTTGCAGCGAGTTTTCCTTTTTTGTTACGAATCATTATTTTTTACGAATTTCAGGACTGAATTGCAATTAGGTTATACAGCGAAGGAAGCAGTATTTAAGGAATGTTTAAATAATTGGAAAGAATTCGAGCGATTTGCTGTCATTGAATCCCAGAGATTGAGGAATGAAGTATATTTGTTATTTCATTCAAGTTTATCAATTAGAACAACACTATTTCGTACGGCGAATTCTTGAATGCCATAATGATTGCATTTTGTCTCAGGTGCATTTGAAAGTATCAGCGGATTTCTATGAAGAAATGCAAAAACTGGAGTCAATTATTGACAGATTTGATGACAGATTCATCGACGAACCTGCTTCCATTGAAGACTATAAAAAGGTTAATATCGACTGTTAGATAACATCAGTGATTTATTTGATAATTATTCAAAAATTCTCAGTTACTGTCCTATTCTCATTGGAAGTGATGTTACAGAATTTGGCAGATTTTGTGGATAAAATTGTGACGGAAGATTTGGAAGCGCGTTGTACCAGAGGTCTTATGCAGCGCATTTGGAATTTGGAAAATTCCATGTATTGTACGTTTTTTATAATACATGTTATCATATTGAAGCATGCTAGTTTTTTTATAATCGTCCATTTCAGTTTTTTCACGTGTTCACTTCATATTTCAGTTTTTTATATTTGATATAGATAGTTTAGTTTTTCCCCATGGCATAGGGTAAAGTATTCAACGATTTACTCACTAAAGAATTTAAATATCTGCTTAAGTCTCTAATTAGTAATTTTTGTTTCATTTCAGTACATGTTAACCAGATACTCGCGGAACCATATACTAAAAAGTTGGAGCAGGTATTAACTTTTAAGGAATTTGCGAACTGAGCCGTTCCATAAATTCGACAGTTGCATTGTTTCACTGTGTCAGTTGATTTGATTTCAGATTTTGGAGTATGCCTCAGTTCTCTGGGAATTTCCAAACAAAATTGGATGACAACTGAAGCATAAAAATTTGCCCAAATAGTGTTTGTTGTACTTGTTGGAAATAATTTCTCGTTTCCAGATTTGGCGATATCGACCTCCGTTCAATTTTTCAATCTGCATCAATTGTCCGTCATTGATGCAAGACTTTCGGGAAGATTTGGAATTTCGGTTTTCATTCGGTATTACAGCGATCATCAGACGGATTAATGCATATCGTTTAGGAAAACCTATAACTGCTGTGGGTAATCAACCACTACTTGATGCTTTCGTGAGTTTTTTGAAATTTTCGATTTTTGTTAAACTACTTTTGGCGGTTTTAGTTGCATTATATAGCACTTTCTGCAGAAAATTATATAAATAAGCAAATAAATAAATTAATTACATGTGTCCATTAATTAATTGGATCTTAGTTGCATGTAAATTTTGGAGGCATACCAATGAATGTGGTAGTTAGGCTAGTAGCTGCCAGGATCAAAAATAAGTTGAACTTGTTGTATTATTTGCAGTAAATTGAAACACCCGAAATATTTATCAGATCTCAATCAAGAAAGAGTTCTTCATCACTTAAATATTCATGATCGTTCTCTTTCTAGAAATTTCGCAAGTGTTTTTTGATTTCAAGGCTTTATTGGTTTTCAGTAATGACTAAGCATATTATAGAAATTTACATATATCCTTGACATGGAATTATCTTTCAGAGAAGTTACAGTAAACAAGTAAACACAGAAGTTGGGGAAGGAAATATGCAGCACAATTGTCAAGAAGAAATGCAAGTGATAACAGCTGCTGATTCACAGGAAAATGCCGTAATGGCTCAACTTTTACTTTCTTCGATTGGTTACGTTGCTAACGGTGGACTTGGCCTTCTTGTTATAGGCGGAATAGTTAGTTTTCGATTTCTTTTTGGTAAAGTAGTTTCGACTTTCAATTTTCGATTTTCTTCAACATTTTTAAAAATTGTATATTTATGTCAATAATATTATATCAGTATTGTTAGGCATAATGAATGGGATCAAAAGAGATAGCCGATATCGTAGACTTTTTCTAGAAGCTCGTTTACTGACAGGCGCTTATTGTTTTAATACTGGTCTTTGTTGTCAATACTAAAAGTTATTTTGGCTCATACTTATCATCGGAACAATAGAATTTCCTATAATTGTTTTGAATTCTTTTTCAGGTTTCTAGGGCAGTTAGTTGGCGTTTTATCGCTGCTGGAGTAGCGTTATATGGTGGTTTGTACGCTGTGGAGTACTGGCGTTGGAATTCTGGTGCAAAGGAGCAGCATTTGAAAGATCAGTTCCGACATCATTTAAGTGCGAGGATGCGTAGTGTTGCAACTACACATACGTTGCACTGTGAAACGCAAGTTTTAAGGTCAGCTCTTGTTTGAATTCAGTCAGAGAAAAGTGCTATCGCAATCATTTACATTTAATTTATTACTTGACTTTTGAATTTTACACTTGTTCTAAAATCACTCAAGCTGTAAAGTCTTTAATTAGTGAAGTTTTTGGCCTGACTCTAGTTGAATTAAATAAAATGAAAATGTTATTAGTAGGATATTAGTGACGTTTATCCTTAATACACACTGCGCTGTTGTTGAGAATACGAAGGCTGTCAAAAAAAGGACGGTAAAAAGGGGCTGTTTACGAATTAAATGTTATCTACCTATCTGCTTTAATTATTGACATTTATTCGGAAAAACATTACCTGGACAATTCCTAACTATTTCAAAAATACTCCATTTTAAAGGGAAATGCAACAAGTGCTTGGAGGCCTAAAAAGTACAGTAGGTGGTGTGCATCAGGAAATGAAAACAGAGCTTGATAACATGCGGAGAGAAATTGGGAAAATTGATCATGTTACCAAAGGACTTAATACAATAAAGCAAGTTTTTTATTACATTTTTCTTCAAGTTATTGCTAAAGGATAATAAAAAGGAAAATGACATTTCGGATAATCTTAGAAGAAAAAGCGGAAAATCTCGGTAAGCAATAGTGAATCAATAGTGCAATAGCAATAGTGAATCTTCTATTTATATCAGTATAATATGAATAGAAATCTTGCCGAATTTTCAAGCTCAAATGCTGCTTTAGAGCATTCTTCATGCATAGGCTAGGCTTGTATCCGTTGTTTTTAATAACTTTATTATCTTCGGAAGATCATAAACTTATGGACTTCCAAAGGAAATGAAGTCAGTAAAGCCTGTTATGGTTTTTCATAAGATAACTTGAGTTCAGTTGTGGAAATATGGTAAAACTTGAATATTCCAGAGGCAAAGCATCATTCCTGAACACAGATTTGGACCGTTTCGCGAGTGAATTTTTGAAAAGTGGTTCACATTCACCGGTAACTCAGCAGTGAACATTGTGGGATATGTTCATTTATATGCACATTAGTCGGCAGCTTGATTTTGAAGTTCCTAGCACTTCTAATGTCTTAATGTTTCAGTAGTATTTTAAGGTAAAGTATAAACAGGAAAATCAGATGTGAAACATTTTACCTTTCGTTGAAATTAGCTACCACTTCACATTAATACTATTAGAATGAAAACAAAAATGAAATAATTGGTTTCCCTAACTAACTGATTTTTTTTTGACATTTTTTGTTCCTTTTTTCTTGCGGGTTAGTGTGTGTTTGCTTTTGAGCTCGTTCTTGTTGTTTTGTATCTAAACTATGCTCCAAACTCTATTTGATCATTATTTCATCAGTTTAGATTTGAATTTCATTTGCAGCTTGTCCCGTTTGTTTAAATTATTTGGTTTCATTTTTATTTAATTTGATGAACTTTTTTCTCATCGATGAATTGTATTATTTGATTTTTTGCCGAGTGATTGTTTATTGAGACTGTTTATTTAGTTGATTTATGCTTAGAAAATTTGGTAAAACTAGAATTTATAGGCATGATTTATTCTTTCCAATTGAGTATTTGATTGTGTAATAAAGTTTGTTTAAAAACAACGTTGGTTTGAGAATAGTTTTTTGTTTTGTTTTTTTTAATCTTTTTTTGTCTTTTGTTTTTTTTATTTTTTTATTCTTCGAAATAGATGTGAAAAATGGCTTTACAATCTTTTGCGATTGTTTTATAAATGAAGGAAGGCTGATGAACGAAAAACTGGAACTAAAATGATTGATTCGAAAGAATGCTCTTTGATTCAGCAAATTTGTGCATAAAATCTCATTAACTGAGATAAGCATTTCTGGTAATGATCAGCTTTTCCTAAAAATATTTTTAACACTACTTTGAAGTAGCAAAAATTCAAAATGATACTCTAATGTTGATAATAATGTTGATAACGATGATGATTCAATCAGTGATGAATGCGATAATATGTTTGTTCTAGTAGAAGTAAATTAGTAATTACAACTATTATAGCTTTTTTAATGATAGCAATGTTAATAATAATGTTCAACATCAAGAGTGACGTGTTTATCATTTTGGTAACCAATTTCTTCAACAAAAAAAAAGAAGCTTTTGCGGTACTTCATTAGCCGTACAGCTGACATCTTGAAGTCTTCCAACCAATCTATCAATCAAAAGTTGGACTTTCGGATTTTTGCTAACAACAGATGATGTGAACTATTAACTGATCAGAGAATGGTTGCAAACTTTCATCCATGCTATTTGATATCGATGCGCTAAAACTCTCTTTGCAATTTACTCTTTTGCAATATCGGTCTTTTTCATTTAATTAAATTTACTAATGCTTTTTTTTAAAATCACATCAATGTTAGCAATTATTTGTGAAAAATGCTAAGCTTATTTCATTTTTCAAATATATTTCGCCTAATTTCTAGTATACTATAATGTTAAAGCCATCAAATTGTAACGAATTATCTTGTCTATCTTCCGATTTTGTATTCTGTAAAAGTATACCAAAATTTTGTCAACAGATTTTGTAAAAAAAATTGCTGTAAATATTGCAAATATATGATTAGCGAAGAGAATTTATATTTCAATTTTTAGATTTTTATAATCTATTGAGGAAATGAGTATATATATGTATGCATAGAATTATGCATAAATTTAAATTTCTCTTTTTAATTTCATTGAATAATTGTTGCAAATAAATCTATTAGGAAATAAAGAAAAAAAAGAGAAAATGGAATTGAAGGAATTGTAATACTTCAAAAGTGTATATTCTAATTGAATTGTATAATTAAAAATTAATAGAACAAAAGGTATGGAATGAAGAAAAAAGTGGAATATTTTACATATAAATATGTCGAAAAATTTACAATATTTTAAAAAAATATTAAAATATATATATAGAATATAAAAATGATAAATGTTACATAGCTCATATGGCATAATCAATAAGATTAATTATTTGACATGAAAATAATTTAATAAAACAATAATGATTGTGATTAAATCAAGTTTACTGTAACAGAGTAAAGCTTGTTGATTTTTTTTTTTTTTTTAAATCAAATAATGTATGCTTACAGTACAAGATATTCTTAATCAGGTGACATTTTGATTTAGCTGATTTGATACTTTTGCTTATATAATATATGCTTACCGTCGTATCCTTGAATAGTTTAATGAATTGAACAGTTAAAAGTTAAGGAGAAAAAAAATGAATTTAATGTGCATAGTATTTTCATCATTTTCATTTTAATTTTTGTTTGGGTATTTTGGATTAAAGAAAATTTAAAAAAAAAAGAATCCTTTAATTTTTAAACGATTTTAGTGAAAATTTGACAAAACTTTTTGTCATTTTTGATCAGTGAATTATCGATCTAAGATATTGATTGCTGTAAAAAAAAAAATCACTGATGAGTGTTATCCACTAATGATCACACCTAAAAATATTTACTTAATTCAAAATTAAAAAAATGGAATTAGAGAACAACAATCAAGATTAAATAATTAAATTAAATAATTTTTTTGGATTAAAGAAAATTTTTAAAAAATTTTGCAATTCAATTTATTTCACTCATTAACTTTTGAATATGAAATATTCATTAAGTTTAACAGTTTGATTAAAATTAGCATAAATTTTAATGTTTCTGAAAAAAACTTACTTTTTTTCTTTTCCTTTTTTTTTTACGATTCCAATCATTTTGTCATTGTTATTTTTGCTTGATAAAAACAAAAGAAAACATTTTCATTCTTTTATAGGACAATAAAATTGAAAATTATTTGTGATCGTTGTAAAATTATGCAATGGATCGATTTACTACAGTATCTACCAATATCATTAATACTAATTACTTTTATCATTCTTGGCCTTAATCATCTTTGTTTTACTTCATTTATAAGTCCAACAAATTTTCAACAGGTTAGTTATTTTTTTAATAACCTATTTTAAGAATACAATATGCTAATGTATAAATGATTACATAAATCATTGATTAATTTCTTAGGGTATAAGTGAAATCAGTCTATTTCGTTCGGCGATCAATTGTACATTAATTGTTATTGCGCCATTAATATTTATCCTACCTATATCTTCTGGTAAATTATATAAAATTTATTTTAAAATTTAAAAATTTTATTATTTGTAAAATTTTTTTCGAAAAAATTTAAAAATTTTCACCATTTTTTTGTTCATTACAATTATAAAATTTTGAAATAATCTGACGCAAATATTAGACGATTATAAAAGAAATATTTTTTTCGATTGAATAATTTTCCGTTTTTTTTAAAAAAAAAATATTTAAAGTATCATATTTTGAATTATTTTATTTGAAACAAATATTTCGATCCAATTTGGTTTTACACAATTTTATGATTTATTAAATGAATTAATTAGTTGAATTGAGATTAAAAATGTGGCGAAATATCAAACTGAAAATTTTATGAAATGATGCTTTTGTTAAAATTATTGATAATGTTAAATTTTTTTTAAATTTTGTTTTTAAAATGCTTTAAAATGGTTTATTGCAGTTGAACATATAATATATTACCTATTGGGTTATGGATGTGCTGCGTTATTAACAATTTTACTAATTAGTCCAATACTACACTATAATCCATCACCTAGCATATGTCATTATATTAAATTACGATTCAATCAATCATTTTGTATGTGCAAAAAAGAAAATTCGAAATATTTTTACCTAAACTTGGCTAATTCAAATATTATTTTAAAGAATTGTTTCGTTAATTTTTTTTTTTTGTAAAATCTTTTCATTACTAAATTTTGTTTTAATTTTTTAATTAAAGTATTGAATTTTTATTTTTTTAAAATATAATTGAATTCACTAAAAATTTTTACGAAATTATCATTGATTAATTTACATAATAAAAAGTTTCGTACTTCCATTCAGTGATAAATGATAATTATTTCTAATTATTTTCTTTTCAGTGTATATATTGGTTTGCATATTAAATGTGATTTTTTTAATGATATTTTCCATGATATTGCTCATAATGACAGTATCACTTATCACTCGGATATCCATCTTATCACCATACATAATATGTTCTGCATTGGGATATATCGGTATTTTTGCGATTGCTTTTGGTGGGCAAACAAGCGTTTCGTCCAATGTCTTCCTTGCAATAATTTGTGTGAGAATAGAAAAAAATTTTCCATTTTTAAATTTTATTTTAATTTTTAATTTAATTAATGTTTAATAATAGTAAAAAGAGGAAATTTAACTTGTAAATATGATAAAATAAATACAATTCAAATTTAAATTGGAAACAATTTTACTAATGCAAATTTAAGAGGGAACTAATTAAAATATCATGACCTTTGAACTTCTTTTTTCATCCTATCAAATGTTTCTCACACTAATTAATTTCTTTTTCTTTAAAAAAAAGGACTACTTGCAATCTTGAAAAAATTTTTAAATTTTCCAAAATTCTAACATTATTTTTATGCTATAATTAGAAGTAAATGTAATAACCAAAATGATAGCAATTCCTTTTTTCTTTGATAACCAAAATGATAACAATTTCTTTTTTCGTTGATAACCGAAATGATAGCAATTTCTTTTTTCTTTGATAACCAAAATGACAGCAATTTCTTTTTTTCTTTGCTTTCCTCCTTTCCTTTTTTCTTTTAAGTGATAATTCTGATAACAATATTCAAATGATTAATGGTAAGCTAAATCATTCGCAATTAATAATATAAACTATTTTATGATGTAAAAAAAATGATAGTTAAAAAAAATGCAAAAATGATGATAATTTTGAAATTTTTATAAAATTTAAAATTTAGCTACCAATACTAGGAATTTTATGCATAATATTTGATGGTCTTGCAAATCACATATATTATTTCGTTGATATCATTTTATCCGGTGATTATTTATCATTTGATTCATGGACTGCATTTTATTTGGGTATCTTAAATGGTTTACATCTTCTTATCACTAGTCCATTATTATATCAGGTTATTAGCTTCATATTGTTGTAATGATTAATTAGCTTGATGAAGTGAGAAGATTAATTGTTATTAATTGGAAATAATTTTGTCCAATTGATCGATTGATTGATTGATGCAATCAAGGAAAATCATCATTTTAATAATTAGTAATCAATTAGTATGAAGTAAAAGAAGCAAAGTGATAATTTTGTATGTTCATTATTAATGAAAATTTTTACAGCAATATTTCTCGCTATCATCATGTCGACGTTTACGTGAATCGCTCGTAATTCACGTAGGACTTTTTGGTCTTCTAATTAGCGCAATTCTTATGTCACCTTATTTATTTAATGATAAGATTAATTGGTTTTGTCCGAGAAATTCATTTTCAATATTTGATATGAGCCAAGAAAATATGCCACCAGAAATAGATAATGGATTATTTCCATTTCTCATTACTGCATTATTATCACTTATCACTTCATTTGCTATCATTCTAACTCAGCTTGCATTGATAAATTTGATTTGGGAAGATTTCTTAAGATTATCACTAATCCGACGATCACTTCAACAACAAATTGTTTCAATACAGGTTAGTTTATTGCAATTTGTTGATCTATAAAATGCCGAATTAATAAATTTTTCATGAAATTATTATGTTGAAAATTTGAAATTATTTATTTTTGACATTAACTATTTATCTTTTAAATTATTTGTTTTCACATTTTATTTTTTGAAAAAAATCAATTAAGAAGAGAAAGTAAGAAATAAGAAAAAGATAATTAATGTCGTTAATTAAGGAGAGAAACTAAGAAATAAGAAAAAGATAATTGATGCAGTTAATTAAGAAAAGAAACTAAGAAATAAGAAAAAGATAATTGAAAAAGGAAAGATAATTTGAATTAAATTTGAATTAAATTTAAATCAACTTTAGATTGGTTTACTAATAGCTGGAAGTATAATTATTGCAATCACAAATGCTTGGCTCTATTTTGATAAACCATTAAGATATGGGCAAATATTACTACTAATTTTAAGATTAGTTTTTTAAACATAATTTTTGTTTCTTTATTAAAATTAGAAAAAATTTAAGCATCTATTTATGGTACCTTAACCGTATATTACTTATTTACACTCAACAATGCAATCAATACTGTATTCCATTTTAATGAATACATAGTTTGTCACAGTAATTGATTTCATTTAAATTTAAATTAAAATCATTTTTTAGCACTTTAGCAGCTCCGATGACAGCACTTTACACCTGTAGCTATCTTTTTCCATTCTTAAATGGTAAAGGAGCAACCACAGGTTTACTTGCTGGTATTTTTGGTGCATTGGCTCTATTTTATCTGTATTTTCGAGTTATACCTCTTCAATTTCATCATTTCCCACGGTCATGTGACAATGAGACATCAATTATACATTCATTAACATGGCCTGATTGCAAATTTGCATATTCAGAGTTGGATTCTATTCCAACGATATTACAAGCAATGGCTAATAAAGCACAAAAATTGCTACTCATTTTCTGTGAAGTACCAATTGCATGGTATCCATTAGCTACTTTTACAGTAAGTATTAATCTCGATGCATTGCACCTGTTTTATTTTACTTTTCAATTAACTAATTAATTAATTAATTGCTCAAATAAAACTTGGCAAGAGTATCATTTCTTGTGATTTTCCCCAAAACAAGTAAACAAAAAATTTTTACTAATACTTGTTTTTAATAATAAATTTCTTTTTTATAAATTTACATATTCAGGCATGAATTCCTCTTATTTCTTTTTCCTCAGTTTAATTTTGTTAAACGAACTATTTTGATATATTCCAGTGGAATAAAAATTATCAATTAAAGTAAAGATGATAAAAATAGTTAAAATTATCAATTGAAATGAAACCATTAACAATTTCACTGATATCTTTCCTTGTTGAAAACTGATAACATTGATTTCGTTGTCAGATAACATCGGTTTAATTATCTTTTTTCATTTTCCTACATTTACAGATTGCGACATTATCAATGCTACTTGTATCATTGTGTACTAGTAATAGCAATGCTGATAACTTTGATTGGAAATTGATAATATGTACATCATACATTGGAATATTTAAACGTAATAGTGATAAGATAATCAATAATGATAAACGTGTCGCTTTCATAGAATGCGAATCATTTCGGTTATTCCGTTTTCAATTTATTCAAAATTTACTTAAGAACTTACTGTATTCCTACTGTTTTTTGAGATAAAATAATTTGTAAAAGTTGAAAATTTAATGAAATTCAAAAGAAAAACACTGTTTTTAATTTGGTTAATTTACAGATATGCTCAACAAACACCATATCCGGATACGGTAACTACAGTTACACCTATAATTGGACGATAATTACCGAATACTGTTAATAGTTAATGTATGATATAGCCTAAAATGATTATTGCAATATCTCTCCCTTTATCTTATTTTATTTTAAGTTTTCAAAATTTCTCTATTCTTTAATTGAAATTATTAAAATATTATCAGTTTAACTGAATACATTGAAGTGTTGAATTTAATTAAATCATAAAATGTAACTGTTAGCAATCGATTTAATTAATTTAACCTTTTCCTTTTCTTAAAGTAAACTTTTTGCTTTTGTTATATTTTATTTTTCTTTATATTAAATACAAAAATTTGATCAAAAAAATGATGATCGTTATAACTAACAAATTAATTCTAAGGAAATCTGAATTGAATTAATTTTTTCGTTTTTTGATGCAAAAAATTAAAATGAAAAGAATCGTTGAATGATAAACTGTCCTAATTTTTTCTTTAAATCAGATGAAATTTATTATCAAAATTCTTAATGGAATTTGATTGAATTAAAACTTTTGCTAATTTCTTCCAACTTTACTAATTCAAATTTTGACAAAAGTTATTAAAAAGAAGAAAAGAGAAATAAGTTAGGTTATGTTGATAATTTGAAACATAAAAGTTCCATCATTGAGAATATCTGAAGTTACGTGTAAGTCACGTATCACTTGTGACTTATAACCTTCAATGTATAATGCATTTAGCAGTAATGTATTCTCGAGAGTTACTTCATATTCAAAAAAAAAAAGCCAATAAATAGGCGTAAATGAAAAGTTACATTGTTTGTCAAACAAGTAAAATAAGGTGAGCGAAATGACGTAGATGGATGATAATTAATGAGGACAGAAATGCGAAATGGACGCAAAATGTTTCATTATTCAATCTCTTCTATCCTCAATACAGATTGTCCATTATAACGAGTTACTGGAAATTCTTCCGGGAAGAAGATTGCTTCAGAATGATGATGATAATTCAGATTAGTATGAGAGAATGGAAATGGAGTAGTATATAATGGGACATAATATGATGATGATCTATTGAGTTGTTTGTCAAAATTGGGATGTAAATGATGGGAAGAGATTGGTAATGAATGTGACAGTGATGATGAATGCAACAATTGTGATAATGGTAAAAATTGTGATGGATTAATTAAAGGCGGAAATGTTTGCTGTGGTAGCGTTTTTGGAAATGGTCGAATTTTAATATAACCAGTAATAGCTAACAATGAAGATGGCTTATTTTGAATATCAAGGGGGGATTGAGTGGAAATTTCAGTACCAATAATTATTGGTATCTCAATTGGTGTATATTCATTGAGCATTACTGATATATGATAAGATGAATTGATAAGTGCATTTGGTTGTGAATAAGTTGGAAATGCATTATCCGGAATCTGAAATAATTTTTTATTTAAATTTATAAAAATATCTCATTTTACTTTCTAATGGCTAAAAAATTACAAAACATTCCAATGAATTCAACTTTTTCAATTTAATAAATTATTCAATTCATAAAATTCTTTTTTTTAAATGATAAATCATCAAGTTCATAAATGTATGAAATTTTTCATTATTCCATTGAAATATTTCATTTTTTTTATATTTGAAAAGATACTTATGAATTATGCTTAGGAAGAAAGGCTATTCTAAATTAGATAAATTATAATTAGACTTAATTCCTATCATTCTTAAACTATCATCGTGACAAATATTCAACTAGATAAATTATAATTAGACTTAATTCCTATCATTCTTAAACTATCATCGTGACAAATATTCATTCTTCAAAGGAATTAAATTATTTCTTTTTTTGATATAATTTATTTCCTATAAAAATCTTATAAATATGAAGTATATGTATTTGTCGATATATACTTTAATCTTTGATCTTTTTGCTTTGATCTTTTGTCTAAAATTTAGAGAAATGATATAAGTATTACTTTATCAAATTCAATAAGCACTGCGCGTTTTAAGCATGATAAATAAAAAAAATTAAAATTGTTGGAAATCTCCTTGGGTAATGATTTTTTCAAAAGTACTAACAAAATTATGGCGAAAAATATGAATGATTGCGCCATACTAGTTCTTATGGCTCTAATTAATGGGACAAATTTTTCGAGAAAAAAAAAATGTGATGTTCAAGGTTAAAAGTAGCAAATGGTTTTGTGCAAAATGAAAATCACCGATTGATACATTCATCAAGAAAATGACATATCAGATTATACAATATATTTAAATGATCGTTGGAATTATCAAAAGTTTTGAAATGCAGCAAAATTTAAAAATTTAATTAAATATTTTTAAAGAAATTGGGGTTATTAAAAAAAGTTTAAAATTTGGTGGTGAAAAGAAATTGCAATTTAAACTAAACAAAGAAGTAAAATTTCGTGAATTTCAAAAAATTCATATATAAGACTGTTTTTCTTTATGAAAATTTCTAGAATTTGAATAAAATTACAATTTTAAAATGACAATTTTCAATTTCAGCAATAATGAATCATATAAGTGATTTGTAAAATTATATATAAAAAATATGCAAAATTAATTACTTAATCAATTAATGAATAAAAGAAAAGACTTTGTAGCTCTGAATGTTAACAAAAATAAGTTTAAAATTCTTTTTCAACATTTTCATCAAAAGATACCTTTACTTTTTCCTCATTCGTTTTCTTTCTTTTTTTTTTTTTTTTTTCTACGACGATAAAATTTCAGAAGAAAAACTCTCAAATTATAGGGAATTAAAATAACAATTTGAGGAAAAAATTTGCTAATTACTTGCAAACAGTGTTGAAATTCGATAATTGAACATTGCGGAATTGTTGGAAGTGTAAAATATGATAGCGTTACATTCCTGCAAAATTGATTAAAATTTATTGAAGAAATTTTTAAAAATATAAATCATTATTAATTAAATATTTCATTTATAATTTAATTTTTGTAAAATACATGTCTGACTACTTTTGCTCTTTTAATTGTTATTTTTAGATACATATTGGAAATTATTTTATATTACATTAAAAAAAAAAAATATTACAACATATTAAAATTTAAAATTGGTATGCGCAATATGTCATACAGTATTACTTATCATTTTAACCGGTATTTGAAGAATGAAAAAGGGTGGGGGAGGAAAAAAAAACAAACAAACAAAAACAAACAAAACAAATGAACTAAAAGTAAAAGAATGATTTCTTCTTTCATTTTTATTCGTTACTAAATTAAACTTAATTAATGCATAATATTATAATATATTACGCAATTCATTTCCAATTTTAATTTGTTGTAATAATTCCGTTTAGAAGAAATGAAACGTGTTATTTTCAAGAAAACAATAAGTAACATTTAATCAAAGTTTAATTATTTTATTAAATCAATTAATCATTCTTTTTTTTAAAAAGAAAAATGCTAATAAAAAAGTTTTATCAAACTTTTAAATTTGAAAAAAAAGGCAAAAATAAAAAAATAAAAACAAAAAACTATGTGAAATAAAATTTTTAAAGATTAAATTAACGAATAAAATTATTCCGTAAAAAAGAAATGGACTAACGTAAATTTCTCACTGCCTTTACAACGAAATCGTACAACCATAATAAGTCGTACAGTACCACCTTTAATTGGATTTTTTGAATGTTCATTATCAATCTCAACATCCATAACAATTGTTTCACCTGAAATTATCACCTGATTATATAATAATCAAATAATTGAACTCATAAAATTGTCAAGTTTTTAAGTACGAATTTATTACTTCTCATTATTGTGACGGTTGATTCTTTCTTTTTTTCACTGATAACATTGATAATGATAAATTTCGATTATTCATAGTGAATTTTTGGCATTTTTCATAATATATTATTTTAACGCTAAAGAAATTCTTTTTCAAATGAAATCATTGCTAATTGGTTGGGATTATTTGTGAGAAAGAAATAGAATTAAAGATTAAATGAGGAAATTTTAAAATTTCAAAATGCAAAAAAATACATCAGAATTTGATAAAATCATCATTTTTGAACGAAATTGTCATTTTTGAACGAAATTGTCATTTTTGAACGAAATTGTCATTTTTGAACGAAATTGTCATTTTTGAACGAAATTGTCATTTTTGAACGAAATTATCATTTTATGAATAAAATTATCATTTTTGAATTTTAGCTTTTCATATTGTGTAATACGCATAAAAAAGAAATAAAAAAATAAAATAAAATAAAATGAAATAAAATGAATAATTTACGAATTAACCTCGAACAAATGCTGATTTTGATAATCTGATAAAAACTTTGGCCAATGATTTATTGAGACAAAAAATTTTTTATGAAAATATCGCTCGATATGAACAGGTATGTGAAATGGCAGGTAACGAGTAATATCCATTACTGCTATCACTCTTACTGGACGTATTTGCACTAATTTGGAATGACCGGTACGACCGGGGATACATAACTAAAATTTATTTTAACAATATCAGCAAAACAAAACAACAACATTGATAAGAACTGATAACTGGATATGTGTAATTCATTGCTATAAGGATTATTAGAGCATAGTTTATTAGTTGATTAAATATGCAAATTTATAAATGTACGAAAATGTATATGAAACATATAGTAATTGAAAAGAAATTTAAGATTATGAGATATTCGAAATTAATATTAATTTTAAAATTACTTCAGCTAGCATTTCTAGTAAAATATAAACTAGTAAAAACCTTAACAGCAGTTAAATATTCGATAGAACCATATTTGCCTAAATAACTTTCCGGACATTCTTCTCCGATTACCAATCTTATTTCGGTTTTATGTTGACCAGCTGGTGCATAAATTTCACCATTTTGTGTACGCCATTGTCGTATAAGAGTATCAAATTCAATCCGGAATGCAATAATTTGCCGAAATTCTACTTGATTGGAAATTTTTGTACGAAATTTACCCTCGAAAAAACCGGTCAACGAAATGATTTGGGTTGTATGGGCGAAGTTAATTTCCACCAAAATTTTGAATACCTGAAATATACAAAATAGGAATTGATAGGAATTGAAAATAGGAATTGAATAAAATATTTTTAAAAAAATTTTCAAAACTTTTTTTATAAATATTGAAATCACCCAGATAATAATTACCAAAATTAAATGAATGCAATAGTAAAATCATCAAAATTTGCATCTTCTTATCACTATTTGATACCATATATCAGTAATTATATCATCTAACATTATTTACTATTCCTTCTTTATGATTTTTAACAATCACTTGAAATTATTTTATAAAAAAAAATTAAAACTTATTGTACTATAAAATAAATTATTAAATAAAAAACCATTCTATCCCATTTTTTTACTGACAATCTTCAGCAAATCAATTCGGATTATTTTATTTCCGATTTCATTATCACTATCAATTTTTCTTTTTTCCGGTTTTTGTACCGTTCCTTTTTTTTCTCTTCCATCTAAATCCTATAAAATCTTTCTGCAATTTGTTTATATTCTTATAATTTTCTCATATAAATATACCTCCTAATTTCCTCTTTGATTCATTCATTTTCTTCGCCTTTTTTTTTTTCGTAAATTCAATCTTTGAACAAAGAACAATTAATCAATCAACAAGAAATTAGAAAAAAAAAAAAAAGAAGACGAAGAAAAAAATCGAATAAAATTTTGATGAGAAACCATAATTTTTGAAGGAAAGAAAAAAGAATAAAAGATGATTCATGAAGTATTTTTTTTTAAAGAAAAAAAGAAATTTTGTTTAAATACTTTGTTTTAAGTCTCTTTTCGAAATATTTTCTTTTAAATTGATAAATTTGAACGATGAAATCCTTTTAAATGTTCGTAAAAATTCATTGAAATAAAAAAAAATGAAATGTCTCTGAAACATTTCAGAAAAAATTTTATTATAATTTAAATATTTAACAGATACGTATTGCATTTTTCGCACTTTTGCCGTAGAAAAGAACAAAAATCAAAGAGTTATCATGTGATAAAAAATCAATTTTTTGATAACATCAAATCCTGATAAATTATTAATGGAATAAATGTAATAAAATTGATTAATTTTTAGATAAACAAAAAAAAAAGGATTAAATAAGCAAAATAGCGCAATAAATCGATTATTGAACAAATAAACAAACAAATAATTAAATAATTAAGAGTATGCACGACTAATTAATTAGACAGATAGCAAAAAAGTGGTTCGTTATTTTCTATTTTAATGGTAAAATATTTTAATTTCCCTTACAATTTACTAAAATTTCCAAAAATGGCAAACAATTCTAAACACAATTTATGACTTCTAGATTTTAAAATGAATAGAAATGACAATTTAATGAAAATCCCTTTGTTTAAGCTTTTTAAAATTAATTTTACTTATTTTTTTTTTTTGAAGTTATGAAACAAAACATACAACGCTGTTTTCATCAAACGGAATTCTGTAACTATAAAAGGTGATTAAGTAAATTGTTAATTAATTAAATCGGAAAAATGGACTAAGTATGGGAGTAATTTGAACGAATAAGTATGCAATATGACCATAAAATTTAAATAAAAATGGAAGAAACAAAAAGCAAATCCTTAAATTTTGTTTTTTCATTAATAATTAATAATGTGTCAACTTTATTGCTAATTAACTTAGGAAAGGTAATTATTTTATCTTTTTTAAATTACTTAATGTTTGTATAAGTTTCTTTTTATTTTAAATGCATAATTATTTTCAAATTAATTTTGAATTTTTTGGCTGATTAGCTTTGCAAAATTAAATTCATTAAATCCAATTTAACTATCTGTAACGAAATATTTCATCCCTACTATGTTGGACCTATAAATACATCCCTACATAAATTACTTAATATATAAATACTCGCTTACTTAAATCGTTTAGTGTATAAGTATATTCTATTTAAATTAATTAATATATAAATATATCTATAGTTAAATTACTTTATTTGTAATAATATCCCTACTTATATTACTTAATCGTTCACAGGTTTACTTTTAATAATTGTTTTAATAATTGTTATTTTACTAATTATTGTACAGGTTACTTTACTAATTATTGCACAAGTTATTTCATTAATTATTGCACAGGTTATTTCACTAATTATTGAGCAGGTTATTTTGCTAATTATCAGATGAAATTGAATGAAAGTCAAATGACAAAAATTAGGTTAAATAAAAGTTAAATTGCACAAATAACGATGGAAGGAAAATATGAAAAGCATTAAAATAACCGAAAATTATGACTGATAAAAGTAGAAATAGAAATAGAAAAAACTTTTAAAAAAATACTTTAAAATAAATTTAAATTAAATTCTTTAGATGGGTGTGGAAGAATACGAATGAAGAAATTTGCAACGATTATGAACTGATATTTTAACTAAAGCAAAGAATTTGTTACTTCCAACAAATTGATATTAGAGAAGTTGAATGAATGAATGAATGGAATGAATGAATGAGTGAATGAATGATAAAATGAATGAATGAATGAGTGAATGATGGAATGAAATTGTATGAATGAATGATCGACTTAAAGGACATAATTATGTGTGAATTTAAATTAAACAATAAAATATAAAACGATAAATTGACGAAAAAATATCGAAATATCACTTCAGTATTGTTCATTTTTTCCTTGTCGAAAGTTTTAGTTTAGCATAACCATTCAATTACAGTACCAATTGGTACCATTCTATAACTAATACCGTATGAATACATCATTATATTTGAAGGTTTCCTTTAATATCATTTGAAGAGTGCGGTTATTGCATTCGGAATGACATTCAGATTTTATAAAAAAAGAAGAAAGAAAATTAAGGGAAAAATTTGACAAAATATAAAAATAATTTTTATTAATTGAAGTAACTTCTTGACTCAAAATTTTTAATCAAATAAAAATGCATTTTTTCATCGACAAATTGAATGAGTAGATGTTTTGTTTTATGATTAATAATATTTTAAATGATTTAAATGATTGAATTAAAAGAAAATTTAAACAATTCCTTTTGAAAGAATTGTTTTATTTTTCGAACATACTAAAAAGAACTTAAACTTATCTGTTTGCATCGAAGGAGAATCTTTTCATTAATCATTAATTACGGGATGGAATCAATTTTGTAATTGAATTAATTTTAAAATTGCAATTAATACAGTAATTTTAGTTACAAATGATGCGTTCAACTTATTTACTTTACTTCACATATCCATATTAAATATTCAAATATTACTTACTTTATTTCACACTCAATTACTAAGTATTTTTATTGGTTGAAATTTTGAACTGATTAAGATTTGCTAATGAAATGAAAAAAAAAAAACTACAATTTTTCGTTTTTGAAGCCATCCTACAATTAAATGCTTGATGCTTTTCATAAAAGGAAAATTATCAAAATTAATAATTCTAAGATTATTCACGAAAAAATTGGCAAATACAATTCGAAATTTGAATATATTTGAAATAGTTAATAAGAATTTGAATTTATTTTTACAAAACAAATTAAACATTCTTTCACAAATAATTACAAAGATAAGATCAAAAGATATTGATAACAATCTGTCACTTTGCATAAGTACTTTCCTGTTTTGGCAAATCTTTTGAAATTTACACTTTCTTCATTTATTTTTATGCCAAATTATTAAAAATTAAAATTACTTTTTATCTTCCATTGATAAAGTAAGTAAGCCTTGTAATAACTGCAACCTTAATTATAATGATTACTCCCTAATTATTATGTTCTATTGTGGCCTAGTTAGCAAACTGTATGTGATCATATGACGATGTTAGCATACTTTACAGTATGATAAAACGAATAATAATGAATTATTGAAAAGAAAAAAAAAGAAATTTATTACTAAAAACATTTAATGACAATATTTTGTCGCAAAGCAATAATGATAAGAATATCTTATTCGAACAAAAATAATGAAATAAATAACAAAAAATGGTCAAAAATTTAATTTATTTCAAGTTACATCAATACCATTTTAAATGATAATATTTTTTTATGAGCTATTATAATTTTTGACCTTTAACCTTTAACCTATAAGTAGTGATATTTTGGATATGTTAGAGAGGACAAAAAAAGCATTACTTACTTACCTGTCCAACGTAAATACTTTCTTGACATGAAATATGCAACAACGACTGCTCCTTCTTCATACCTATCAAATGAATCGCTTCAAATCGTTCCTTCTCTTCCGATCGCCCACTCCCTCCTACCGCATCTTATCATTTTCAAACTTCAACAATTATCTTTGTTGAGAGAAATTGAAAATTCAAATACTGCAAATAAAACTGCATGAACACATACACGCCCACGTACACACACATACACACACACACATACACGTACACACAGATACACAAGCATACATACACATACACACATACATACCCATGTACACACAAGCACACACATAAACGTACACACAGACACACATGCGTACACACAAATACACACATACACGTATATACGCACATATACATACACATACACACATATACACATATATATACTTACACACACAC